TACACATAAGAAGTTGCCTTTGCAGGGGACTTTGGAGTATTTCAGATGCTATTAGGAGCCTGGTTTGTTGTTTTGTTGTTGTTGTTGTTGTTGTTTTGATTTTTTTTTTTTAAAGGAAGAAAGTAGGGACTAGGGATGAAGCTCGATTGGTAGGATGCTTGCTAGCATGCAGGGAGCCCAGAGGCTGCTCATGAGGACCTCATAAATTGGGCGTGGACCACCAAGGGTGCGCCAGTATACTCCCAGCATTGGGGAGGTGGAGGCAGAAGAATCCAGCACCATCCTCTGCTATAGAGCAAGCTCAAGGTCCAGCCTAGGCTACATGTTTCAGAAAGAAGTAGGAAGGGAGAGGAATGAATGTAGGTAATCACACTGGCTTAAGGCGTAAGCCCTAGTAATCAATTTGTTTTCTATTGCTTCCTCCTGGGGTGACAGAGATAGATGCTCAGTGGGTAAGAGCTCTGAGTTCAGATCCCCCACACCCATGTAAAACGCCAGGCATGTACATGTAACAGTAGCAGTGTGGGAGGTGGAGGTAGGGGGATTGCTGGGATTTGCTGGCTGCCAGCCTCGCTCCAGGTTCAGCCTTGGGAATAAGGGTAGCAAGTGATGGACCAGGACTCTAATGTCTTTCCTCAACCTCCCCACAGGCTTGCGTGTACGCACACACCACACACACACACACATTAATAAACTAACTTAAGTTCATTTAAAATGATTGCCCTATTCAGGCTGGGCAAGTAAATTTAATCTCTTGAGTTTGTCTGGCTGGCGCGGGTTTCCATCACACAAGGGCAGTAACTCCTTCTCATTTGGGGGTGTTGTGGGGAAGGACCTGAGTTTTGTTGGGGATACTGGGTGTGAGCCAGAGGGTTGGGTCTGTTTCATTCCAGGCCAGTGAGTCACATCTGGCCCATCACATGACCCTGGAACTCACATGACCCTGGACTGGACCCAACTAAATGCAAAACACCTAGGCCACTCTCAGGGGCTGGCAGGAGAGGGTTTCTACATCTGTGTTCCTAGCCAGCAGTAACCTCCGTATGATTCAGACATGGTCTGACTCAGGCCCTACAAGTAGGCCCTCCTCCCCGGGCTGCAGCCTCCTTGTGCAGTGTTCTCCCTGCCCCCTGGACTGACTGTGGTTATTCATAATCCAGTCCCCAGACATCAAGGTCAGAGCTGTGCTCTCTGTCCTGTACTGCAGAAACATCCTGTTCCCTTCAGATGCATTCAGGCACCGTGTTTTCCAATCACTTCCCGGCCTTCCTTCATCCTCTCGTCCCAAAACACCCCTCCTGTCCACACTCCAGCAGACGGTGAGTCTGCTGTTCCCTGTAGTCCGCTTTTGATTGATGCCTGCCTGAGTTCCCCCTCCCTCTCCTCCCCCTCCCCCTCACAAGGAAGCGCCTCTGTGTTTACAACTGCTAACAGTTCCTGGTTGTCCTTTTCAGGAAATGTCAGTGGCCTTCTTATGATAGGTTTAAAATCTGTTTTTCTAATGTAAACATAATAAATTTCACTGTTCCCATGACCGGTTCTCTTCCGTCCCTACTGCTAACATCCTGAATCATTCTCCCTAATCCATCAAGTGTCCGTCTGGATGGCATGTATTGCAATGAGTACGCTTATATAAGCTTCTTGAGTCCCCACCTGTTTTGTGTGTGTGCACGTGTGCATGTGTGTGTGCACACCTATGTGTGTGTGTGCATGTGTACATACTTGTGTGGAGACCAGAGATCAACCTGGAGAGTCCTTCCTCAGCTACTGGAGTGGATGGGATATGGCTCCGTTGGTAGAGTGTTCATGTCCTATGCATGAAGCCCCCAGGGTTTAACTCCTAGCACTGCATAGCAAGGGATGGGGTGGTCTCCAAGACTTACAATCTCAGCACTTGGGAAGTGGGGATAGTGGGGTTGGGACATCAAGGTCATCCTTAATCACATAGCAAGTTCAAGGCCAACCTGGACTATATAAGAGCCTGTCTCAAAAATAAGAGAAGGAACCAGGCTGCCTCAGATTAAAAAACCAAACCAAATCAGTGAGCAAGAGCTCAGAGAAAGTTAGACTGCCTGGGAAACCTGATCGCAGCAGACTCCAGAACAGGTCCTATGTAAAAGCCCGGCAGACTCCAGGACAGATCGTATGTAAGAGCCCGGCAGACT